GCAGAATCGTTATTTTTTTTAAGCGAATTAACTCGTTCTAAAAACGATAGCTCAGCTTTCTCCCAATCCTTGTAAGGTTTGGGAGTCTGGGCTGTTTATTGTGTTGGCTTTTTTTTTTTTTTTCCCCTTGTAAAGGGAAGATGGAAGTTATGTTTAGGGGGGTACTAGCCCGTGAATAAGGAAATACACATTTGCTTGCTGCCTGTAGTACACCTTCCTTGTGAATTTGTACACATTATCGAGTTATTTTTTTAAGTAAAAAGGAAATAAGTGTTTTCTCTTCGCTGTTGCCAATGATGAAATCATTAGAACAGGGGGGGGATTATTTCATGATATATTTATCACCAAGAATGTCGCAGCCTTGCTGCTGTTTGGGCCCCGAAGAGGGATTTTTATTGATTTATTACTACTTCTGTGTGTTCCGTATCTCCGTATCTGGAGCGTCCATAACGAGCAGTAACTTTCAGTCTTTATCTACCGGTCGTTCATCAGGGACCTGCGTCTCCCGTCAGCCGGAGACCTTCGACAGCGCTAACTACAGATTAGCGTTGGTACCAGAGTTATCAAACCGAGTTGTCTTTACTCGGTTTGGCAAGCGCAGCGGCTCAGTGTAACATCACGTACGACGAGCTGGGAGCTGTTGCTGCCCCTTGCTAGAACCTGATCGATGGTCCGACTTTCTGTATGTCCCTTTTCGTCTGTACCACAGACAGCAAACGTAACGCGCGGAGGAGTTTAGCCCACCAGCATCACGGGTCAGTACGGCAGCCATGCCTCTGGCATGGGCGTTCTTTGCCCTGTCTGAAGCGATTCTGCGTCGCCAGCAACCTTTTTGAGCTAAGTTTGGGTACGTGGGCTGCGGCGTGTGCGGAAATGCGACGCTGTGTTTAACTGGGCCAGTTAAACTGCGGGTCCCTCGTTGGGTAGCGCTGGAAAGGCTGGTGGGACAGATCCGTAGCTCTGCTCAGACCCCTCGGTGGCTCTTGCAGGAGCTGGCAGCTTCTGCGTCGCTCTCACACGTTACCTCCTTTACCAGCTAAAGCCTACGGTATTTGTTTTTAAACTGTTAAAATGAGTCACCTTTTTTTGGGAAGCCCCGACTTGTTAAAGTTCTACAGAGCTAAAGATTTCGGTGGGCTCGATTACCTGCCTGGAGCTGGTGGTGTAGAATACCTGTGTTCTTTAAATTTAGGGTCAAACTGGTCTCTCTCCGCTATCGGGGTCATTGCTTTTCCATAGCAACTCTTCCCCTGTGATACGCTTTTGTAAATATTACGGTGCTGTGGCTGACGCTGACCACCATCTGCGCTGGTAGCGCTCCGAGAAGCGGCTGGGTGCTATACAGAAATCGCCTCAAGTGCAAAGATCAGGAACTGCGCTGCTCTGGGTGTGTTTTGTATTGCACTTAGTTTTTTAACTTGTGAAATTTTAGTAGAGAGCGGCGCTAGGTAGCGGCGCGCTCAGAAGTTTTGATCCAGGTGCCGTAGGCAAGACAGAAACTGTAATAAAAATGGGTGAAAAGGATTAACGGAAGTCCCTGTTGCTCCTCCGCTTCCCCATGCTCACCTGAGGGGGTTTTCATAAATCTGCCGGGCGATGTTTGGGATTTAGTGCGATGGAAATGAAGCGCGAGCGTGTGAATTTTGCTTGTTGGTTCTGTAAAAAAAACCAAACAAACCAAAACCAAACCCCAAACATGATCTGTGCTTCTGGTTAGCTTCTTTCTTCAATTAATTTGCTGCTGTACTCGTAGACCTCTACTGGCAAAAGCCTTGTTTTCCCACACAAGAACCAGAGCTACTAATCCCTCTCCCATATTGAATCAACTTCTGGCTACATTTTGTTAACAATAAAGGCATTCTAAGCCGAGTTTATTGTGAACATAAAAAAAAAAAAACAAACCAAAACCAAACCAAACCACTTAAAGTTGCTCCTAAAAGAGCCAAAATAAACCTTCCACGGCTTGTCGCGCTACTGGAGTCCTCTGTCACAGAGGTGTTGAAAGAGAGATCCGATGGCAATATTTGCTTTGCTTCCTCATGTGGCTTTTACAAATACCTTCCGTGGTGCAAGTGGAACCCTGGAATGTGCGGAAACCCTGGTGTTTGTGATTAACCGAAAATCCGTCTTGGATTTCCAGTTGTCCCCTGGGAAGCTGATGAGCCCAGGCTTTTCCTACGTGAAGTCTCTGCTTTGGAAAGTCTCCTTAGTATCCAAATCTATAAAATCGTTTGGTGTATCTCTGCATTAGTTCCATGTTAAGGTTTGCTACACACCAGTTGCAATTTCCCCCTTGAAGATTGCTTAAGAAACGCCACCTTACCTAAGCCTAAAGGTAGATTAGGAAAACTGTGCTGCTATTAACATGATGTGCTTCCCTGTAGCTGAAAACCCGCGTCGTAACCTTAAAAACTCACCTAAAGCCTCCACGTCTGGAGCTGAATATGATAAACTCCTCTTTGGCCTTGCTTCCGTCTGCTCCCCTCTTTGGGAAGCTGTCCCTGCTAGATGGTGGAGGAGAGCTGAGCCCCAGGACAGAGGGTTTTTTTTTTCCCCCCGAAACGCTGCCGCTGCCCCGATCTGAAGGGGTGTTGGCGCGAGGGGCTGCAACTTGTGGTGCTGGAGCAGCAACGGAGCGGGGAAGGGGTCTTGTGCCCCCGGGGCTGGATGGAGTGTGGATTTGAGGCCAAACTGTGGCGATTCTTGGGCATAACCTTGTTCACGAGGTCGTGTCCGCCTGGATCAAATCCTAGATGAAATGCTTCCTGGGATGTTGGAGTTCCATTTTTCATTTTCTTCCTTGAGGGGAGAGTGGCGCTGCATCCAGTTGCATCCAGTTCAGGGCTCCCCAGTTCAAGAAGGACAGGGAACTGCTGGAACGAGTCCAGCGAAGGGCAACCAAGATGATGAGGGGATTGGAACATCTCTCATATGGAGAAAGGCTGAGGGACGTGGGGCTCTTTAGTCTACAGAAAAGAAGATTGAGGGGGGATCTTATTAATACAAATACTTAATGGGAGGGTGCCAGGGGGATGGGAGCAGTCTTTCTTCAGTGGTGCCCAGTGATAGGACGAGGGGTAATGGGCAAAAGCTTGAACATAGGAAGTTCCATCTTAACATGAGGAGGAACTTCTCTGCTGTGAGGGCGGCAGAGCAGTGGCACAGGCTGCCCAGAGAGGTGGGGGAGTCTCCCCCTCTGGAGCCATCCCAAACCCGCCTGGACGCTGTCCTGTGCCACTGCTGGAGGTGCCCCTGCTCTGGTGGGGGGGTTGGACTGGATGATCTCCAGAGGTCCCTTCCAACCCTGACCATTCGGTGATTCTGTGATGTGGTGTGCGCCCCTAGAGTCAGCTAAACGGGAACGTGAAGCTTTGCAAGATGATTTCAGATGATGCTACTGTCTCTGCTGAGCCTAGCAGGGTAGGACCTTTATCCTTGCCTCGTATCGCGCTGCCCGGAGGTCTGGCACTTCACAAACCCCGAGCCCTAGAGTCAGCTCAGACTGGTCAGGGCTGGAAGGGCCCTCTGGAGCTCCCCCATCCCACCCCCCGCCAGAGCAGGGGCACCTCCAGCAGTGGCACAGGACGGCGTCCAGGCGGGTTTGGGATGGCTCCAGAGGGGGAGACTCCCGCACCTCTCTGGGCAGCCTCTGCCACTGCTCTGCCACCCTCACAGCAGAGAAGTTCCTCCTCTTGTTAAGATGGAGCTCCTCAACCCATCGAAGAGCAGATGTGTTTTAGGTGTGTGATCACAGCTGTAATTTTACGCACGAATTAAGTTAGGAGCATGTCCGTGGGACTGTTTATCATAGAATCGTAGAATGGTTTAGGTTGGAAGGGACCTTGAAGATCATCGAGTTCCACCCCCCCTGCCATGGGCAGGGACACCTCCCACCAGCCCAGGTTGCCCA